ACAGTTTTACGTCAAAGTGTTTGCACCAGAGGACTTGATTTAAAAAATCCTCTTAACAAGGAGAGTTCAGTATATTTTTACTGATGCATTTTAAAGCACCTAAGAAATAACTGTAAAAAAATATAAGCCATGAAAAAAAAGCACAAAATTGATGGAAAATGATGAGAAAGGTTTGGCTCTCTTCATTCTCTTATCGTTTATAATCACACTCACTATACCAGCATATCTGCCAGGTCTTACAGTGTACATGTCTTATACCTTTCAACCACTGAAAATTACATGTACATGTACGGTATCTCTAAGTTTGGCTGCATCAAAATGTACATGTAAAATGAGTACAATATGTTTGTTGCAAACGTCATATATTAGAATTTTGATGATGCTCAAGAATTTTGACAAAAATGCATGGCATTCGAGAATGCTGAAAACATGTCCGATGTAGTGCTTGAAAATTCCATGTGCACTGTTCATTTTGCCGCTCATTTTGGAGATATCCCCGCTGAAAAATAAATTAAAATTAACAACTCTGAGCATTAGATTTTTGTGTATTCTACGGAATTCTATGTCTATGTATTCTATGTCTCGAACATCCTTTTTTTTCCAAACATCATTCAAAATGACCTATATTCTTTCAAGAAACCTTGGTACAAAAAGAAGAATCCCGAAGCGTCGCCATTCTGTGGAGGGGCGCATGAATATCGAATGAAAAAGAGGGTGCACTATCTGGGTTGATGTCAAAAGGTCAAACCGGCCATGATGCAGCAAGGCATTTCTTTTACGGTATTGCGAGTTAATGACGGAAGCCACAAAATTGCCACGATTGGTATTTTTTACCACTGTTTACTGTGGTTTTTGGAAATGTGTGATTGGTCCAATCGTAAAAGGATGATGGTTTGGCTACATGTAGGATTTAGGTTGTCCACGTCCGTCAAAAATGCTGACGTTCGAAAATTCAATTAATTAAGTCCGGTTAAAATAAAAGATGGACACAGTCATCATTGTTCCAAATATCAGCCATGACTTCCCTCATTACATCAGACATTGGGAATTAATTCGTTGCTGTTCATTTAAGGAAAAATGAACCCCCAAAGTTGACCATTGTCTAATGGTCCATATTTTGAGGAACCTGCCTTGTACATGTACAAGTTGACCCCTGACCAAAATGACTTTGTAGTATAGAAAGTTGTTAGGCTTTTTAAACACTTTGTTTGGCTGTGTGAATACTGTAACAGTGTAAAACTTCAGCAACCTGGATGCCCGATTCTCATTCAATGCAATGTGAACACTCAAATTTTCAAATTTGTAGATCCATGGTACGTGTACATGTTGGATGGGAAAAAATCCTTAAAAATCTTCCTTCAACCCCTCTACCTTGATGATACATGTACATGTAGGTGTTGAGGGCGGCTTTGATGTGGAAGATCAGAACCAGTACGAGTATGAAGAGAACAATTCTGTTGTCATCTTGCCAGACTTCTTGATGGTACCCTTGCCCAACCAAGACATCCCTCTCAAGGTAGGCATGCATTTCTCAGCCTGTGCCATACAGGTGATTATTGTGGCAGAAGATAAACCTCAAAGCTACATGTATTTATACACTGGGACTTTGTCTACATTTGTTACAGTTTTATTGAGACAATGATAATTCCAATTTATGAATATTGATACTGGATTTAACAATGGTGGGATATGACATTATGAACACCCGAGGGATGCATAGTGCCCCAAGACGAAGCTGAGGGCACTACATTTACGCGTAAACTTTAATGTACAATTTAATATTAAACTGCTGAGACTTTGATAAAAAATGAAAGAAGAACAGTCATTGTGAGATGAACCAATAGAATGGCCTGCCAGAAAATCTTGCGTGACTGCAACCACAACAAGCACTGTGTTCTTCTACATTATGAGTTACATGTACATGTAGATTCTGTGGTCATACATGTACATGTCATACGCAAAGCTTTCTCCTGCACTGGTCATCTTGAGAAAATTGACTGCCTTTAGCTGATAATAGTACTGTAGTGGTGTCTGGCTTCAACTTTTACAACCATTGATAATTAAGTACAGCTAATATTTCGATTGGTTTCTGGTTTTCTTTTTTACATCTCGGTGATTGGTACCGTATGTTGACAGTTGAGCATGGAGAACGGGGTTGATGACCATGGTTTGATAAGCTGGGAGCCGGCAGTCAAAAGCCGGCAGTACACAAATGCCAGAGGCAGGCTTCCTTTATAAATACAGAAATAATACACAGTAACAGAAAACTGTTTGGAGAGTGAGCCAAAAAGCCTTCTTGTAAGTGGACTATCATGACAACTCAATGATTTTGTTTAGCCTGTTGGACAATATTCAAAGGTGCCTTTTTTTTTAAACAGAAAGCGAAAACCTTTAACCCTATTCCCCAGGCTCCTGCACTACAAAGCATACTGAACCTCACAAAATCCAGCAGGTACCAGTACAATGTACATTTATACATGTACATGTACTTGTTCATATGTAGGTCACTGTACAAACCCCAGTGATGAAGTCCAACAGAATGAGCCCTTTGGAGTTTGAGTGATATGGTATGGATGGGTCTATGCAGTATAGGATGACTTGCACTGAACAGTACCAAACCTATCAAAATCAAGCATACACAGCAAGCCAGATACTGCACACAATGAACCCCATATGTCCCCCAACTCATCCAACACCATCTCCCTGGACCCTTCATCCCAAGTCTCACAAAATTGAACAAGTTTATCAGGTATGGTATCATACATGTACATGTACCTGCCAAAACCTCACAAAACTTGCTATTGAAGTTTAGCTAGTTTGGGGTAGTTACATGTATGGTTAATAGTGAAAATTGCTGGCACCGGATGAGTCTCAGTGTCTGTGATTCTGTCGGCATGCCGTGGCTGCCAACAAGTACCCGGAATGCAGTCATCCATGGAAACATTATGTAGATCCATACCCTTTGTTATGTAGGATCCCCAAGTACATGTAGGTTGGCGGTGCCCCAGCTAGCCGACACTTGGCCAAGGCATGCTGATTAAAAATTTTTTTCACGTCGTGCCTTCACTGCATAGAGGTTGGCTTGTATGTTACATGTACTACTGGACTTTTGGACAGTTATCTCTGAGGACAGTTTGTGAGGTTGCTGATGCTTGTCAAAAATAGCAAAAGTAACCATTGGTCTTGTGGCACTCCCTCCCCCCGAGTAAAAATGGAGCTTTAGGTATTGCTTCTCTCTTACAGGTGCAACAAGCTGTGAGTGGAATACTTGCTGCTGAGTCAGCATCCAGACAGGAACAAGTAGCCTCTTGGGATGGAGAGGCACGTGTAGTCTCCAAGTGAGTTACACCAAAATATACTCCTTCATTTTTAATATTCTACTTGTACTACTTTGCTAGACCACAAGCATTGAAACCAAACCACCAAACTAACACTTTTGACTCTATACATGTACATGTAAAAAGGATTGAGGAACTATACAGGAACCAACTGTCACAGTTGGACTCATTGTACACATAAATTACTGCTGCAGTTGGAATGTTAACCCTAACCCTCCTCAATCCTCCAACAGGTGACAGATTGAGGAGGGTTAGGGTTAATGTTGTATAGCATAACTTTTTGTGCATTTGAACTGCCACACTTGACTCAGTGGGCATTGAGAATGCATTTTACACACCAGTAAGCATTACATGCCCACTGTGTCTTATCACAATTGAAATTGCTAGACATGCTGAGAACCTCCTCCAGTTGGACAATGGTGTCAAGGTCCCTCCTAGTGGCTGGAAGTGTAGCCGCTGTGACTTGACTGACAACCTCTGGATGAACCTCACAGATGGTGCCATCCTGTGCGGGCGTCGTTACTTTGATGGATCTGGTGGCAACAACCATGCCTTAGAGCACTATGGAGAAACAAAGTACCCACTAGCTGTCAAGCTGGGCACCATCACTGCAAATGGTGCAGGTAACCATACCTGTAGCTGTTTGTTGTGAGTGCTTCTTGCACTTGAATCCATGTAACATTGATTGATAGATTATCCCAGTAAGAGTAAATTAGCATTGACTGTTTGCAGAATTGCTCCTTCTAGTTACTTATTAAAAGTTACTCATGGAAACTTACAGTTTCTTAGTTTCATTTTTGTGAGTTTCTTGCAGTTGATTGATACTTTTCTTAGAAAGACAAATACTTGAGTTGTTTGGTTACCTCAGGTGAGACTAGATTTGAAGATTTTCCAAGTATTGTGTACATTTAAGTCACTCATCAACTAAGTTGTTTATGCTAGCTTTGTGCTGTCTTTTGTAGATGTGTTTTCCTATGATGAGGATGACATGGTGGAGGATCCCAAGCTAGCTCAGCATCTGGCTCATTTTGGAATAAATATGATGATAATGGAAAAGGTAAATCAGTGGGAGAATTTTGAAATGCCTGGTGGTGGCAAACATGATAGTCCTACATGACTGGTCTACAATAATTAATTGCACCTTTTTGAGCATGCTTACATTAGCCTGAGCATGGCTTAGACATAAAAGTATCGGTACATGTTTTTTATGTCACCAAGCGTCTCGAGAGTTTCATGTGTGGCTGTAAATTGTCCATTGCTCTGATATATGGGGGGGGATATTCTAGAAACACAGTTGTGGGAACTTTGTTTTAGTTGTTACTACAGAACTTCTGAAAATAACTGCCTTCATATGTCAAAGCAACACACATTTGGTAATACATGTAGATACCAACTTCTCAAAAGTGAACTCATGGTCTGCTCTGTGTAGGAACAACATGTACATGTACAGTACAGGTCAGAATTTTAGCCGACACGTTAACGTGACCAGTGAACCTGACCCCCTGTTCAATGCATGCTCTGTGGTTGATACCATGCATTGCTGGTCCAATGCACGATAAGCCTGACCCCGGACCTCATTATCTCGGCAGGGCTTGAGACCGCAGACCGCAAAGGTGACCGACATGCACATATGTATCAGAATTCCAGTAAATTTAAAAACGTCCCACTGAACTTGCCTAAATTTTGAACTTGACTTTCTCATTTGCTGCCACATGTGCCACGACCAAGCAATCACGAAACGACAACCACCCCAACTCTTTCATCCAACCACCAATCCTAAATCGGAACAAGTGTATTGCATATTCATTTCTATACAGCGCCAACAAATGCAAGCTACAGCCCTTACCAAGGATGAGATTCTTCCGCTTTTTGGCGGATTTCCGCTTTTGGGACTTTGAAAATCTGCTTTTGCAAATAAGTTCTGCCTTTTTGGACTGTCGGATACGGTGGTAGTCAACTTAGAAATCCCGATATTTTGAACTTTTCCGACCCATTTCATCAAGATAATTGTCAACTTCCAGGTATCAAATATGATAATATTGATCCTCAATTTGCTGTGAAATACATTGTAAAATGATATGGCATTTCTCGTTGCTTACTTTTCATGTGTCACGTCATTTTGATTTCATCTTTAGAATATTAAAATCATATAGACAATGAAGGGCACTGTGTCATGCCATGCATGCCGTACATTCATGTGTATTTAGGCACACACTGTCAACGTACACACAGATCCGAACCGGTACCAGGCTAGAAATGGGAGATAAGATAAAGCAACACATTCCATTGGCTTTTTTCGCTGACAAAAGCCAGTGCCAACTAGTAGCCATCTCTGCAGGAAATGTGTTTGTTTCCAGGTAACTGTCAGTGTCACAGTCGCTCTGATAAGCTTATTTTTATGACGTATCCCCGTACGTGTATAAGCCAATGACTGCACTTTTCATGTTACTCATCGCATGCATTAGTGTATAGAATGTCACTGAAGCGACTTTGCCTGGTACCCTGAATACTTTTTGTGTGTTATCACAGAAAACCTTACTGTTGTGTGTGTTGTTGAATGGACGTTTCTTATCATTACATTTCCATCATTATGTCTAACCATAAAGACATCATTTATCAAGAAGAAGGAAAGGTGAAGCACATCGACGAAGGGATTAAAATTCCTGGCGACGGGAGTGGGTTGAAGCCAAAATAGGAGCAGTTTTCTTGTCAGAATTTATTCGGAAATTGGCAAAACCGGGTGAGGCAGTGGTGTGATGTAACGTGAGAAATTAATTACGCTTTCAGAGTATGGACTTTGACAAATTGTTGTTGTAAACTGTGTCCCAGAGGGGCTTAGCATTAGATTGCACCACAGATCATCTAAAGTTGAAAATTTTCCTGGGGCCCGCATGCCACAAAGGGCTTCGCACTGTGCGCTGACATATTACAGCTTTTTTCATTTTCTGAGAATTTTGTCCCTGCCTTACACGTCACACGACATGCATATTAATGAAGTTCGCATGGGCACTATGTGCAGCCGTTGCATAAATAATATAGCAATACATGTACATGTAAATACAGCATACCCCACCCCTTGATTTCCCACCGTCACAATTACTCAACGGACAATCCATGTGCCACTCCACTCCTCTTTATTGAACACTTCTGAGGGCCCTTTCAGCTTTGGTACACCAAACTTAAATGCTACGGGTAGGTTTCATTTCATTCAAGAAATATGTAATTTGTCTTTCGTTTTGCTGCCACGTTTTCATCATTTTGCCATGTGGTACTAGCCTTGTCTCAAGGCGTCCATACGGAGTCACAGACTAAATTCCCCACATGTGCAATTGTCATACCGGGTACTGTATGTGTGTAAGAACTTGTTTGCACCTTGATTTCATTGCTAGTATGGTGCGAGTGTGAATGGCCAATGTGTGTATACACAATGTACCATACCGTGCTGCTGCACTGTGCCGGCTGCCACTGCATGCATGGGGTTCACACACACCACAGCGCTTACAACTATCAGCACCGGCACAGCGTGGAAGACCCAATCATGTGATGGAATGGTGCAGTTTAGCATATTTCCAGCTTAATTGGTTCATTAAAAGCAAGCATTTGAAAAGGGTTTGGTAGGCATTTATTTTTAGTACTTTGCAGAAAGTTTTCTTTACTTTTTGAGCCGTTCTTAGAGGAAAATTTTGCAAGTTCCATTTCAAGCAGTGGATTCCCTTTCTTATTGTTTATTTCGCAAATTCCGCCTGTTTTCCACAATCGCGGAAAATCATTGGCTCTAAAAGGGTGGCATTGTCAATATACCGGTAGAAGTCTGTCAGCAGGACATTAACAAAAAGTGGTACTCGTACAATACTGTATGTTTCAATCAATCTGTGTTTCTGAAATGTGTACATCTATCAAGAATGAGACCAACCCTTCTTTCTATGCAGTATATGTATGTGTCTTTGCAGACTTTTTAATCCTGAAAACGTACTTGTATCATCCATCCCAATTTCAGACTGACAAGACCATGACAGAGCTTGAGATTGACCTGAACACAAAGATCGCTGAGTGGGATGTAATACAGGAAGCTGGTAGCAAACTGACACCACTGTTTGGAGCAGGTTACACAGGCATAAGGAACTTGGGAAACAGGTATTGACTCTGTGTGTGCCTTCCTTGGGTGCTTATGAAAAGGGAAGTTGTGTCAAGTGATGGTTCTCAGAACCATTTTCAACATGTGCTCAAGCACATTTTATCTTCCATAGTACAACCATTAGTGTACAGTGACTACGAAAAGTATTTATGGCAAATTTAGTTTGCTTGGATGAAGTGCGAGCTTTGTACACGTAGTGAAGTGTTACAACATGAAAGCGCTCTCACTTGGCTCTGTGAAAGTTTCTTTGTTCTTTTAAAGGACTTTTTCCAAATCTTGGCTTCATCACCATATCTATGGCTTCTGCAGCCTCACCATTAGTTCCAAACATTATCTTTTCATAAGTTGCTCCCTAACTGCTCTATAACTTCACATTAGACAAATGGGAGGGATGCCAATTTTAGGCAAAAGCCTGACATTGGCTTTTTGTTTTAAATGTTAGACTAATTTCAGGTCCCTTCTAGGTGTACGGTAATAAATGGGAATATTTTCTCAGTATTATAGGCTTGGACGGCACTCCCGGTTCCAAGTAGAATCGCAGTTCCACAGAAAATCCAGAATTGGCGTTTTAGCTTTTGTGAAGAACTGGGTACCCACTATCAGCAGTTCTACCTTCAAAGAGCTCATTCCTAACATCAGATCCAAATCCAAGTCACCGCTCAGGCAGGCCTACTGCGCCCGTGAGTGACAACTCCAAACATCAAATCCGAGTCACCACTCTGGCCTACCTACATGTACCGTGCCCACGTGTTGTGACAACTAAATGTACTGTACATTGTACAGATACATAAATGTACATGTACACACATGTACAATGCCTATCTATCAGGCGTGGCAGTGCAGTTTCCATCATCTTGCCTTCCAGTCGAGTAGTAGGGCATTCGGAATGTGGCATCCAATCAAAATGGTTTTGTTTGGCCATTTGATGATCTCTTTGGCCTTATGTGGAATGTAAGGGCAAATATTTGACTGAATATGGAATTTGGCAGTATCGTGCATTCGGAATGCAGTATGTTGCATGTTCACCATTGATCTGTGAATTCTTACTGCATCTTTACATATTCATCGCGCACAGCCACATCGTGTACCGTCTGCTAATTTTAGATGTCTAATGTACACTGACTGCCGAGAGGGGCTGACACACAAGTTAAGAGGCCACCAGATTGTCTGATTTTGGACTCTGAATAATGGTGACCTTGCTGTATCATGAATCTGGCTATTTTTGCTTTTAAGTTGTTGGGTTTTTTTTACAAAAACTGTTAAACCCTTTAAGAATAATAACATTCATGGAACTACAGTATGAAAAGGCGTGTGAGTTTGCGTGTGGGTTTTGTGAAAATTAATAAGAAAGGGATGCACTTTTTTTTTCAAAACTTGTGGATGTCAATTAAACTTTTTGGACTGAAAACCAAGGTTTTGTCACGATTTTCTGAAACAGAATTTATAGAAATTTCAATGAGATGAGGCGATATTTTCATGTTTTGTAGGGGAGTGGGTAACAATTTTGACAGGGCTGGGCATTTTGTTAAGGAACATAGTTGTTAGTTTCCTGGGAGAAACTGGTTCCTAGGGAATTGTTTTTTTGGGGGGGGCAGTGGAATCAAATGAAAAATGTCTTTTGTTCATGACTTTTCTAAAAATTGTGATGTTTTTAGTGACATGCGCTTAGGCAGCACGAGAGCCACCACAAAGAAATTCTGTGAAACCGTAGACGTCCATGCTGCAAACCATTTATTTCAAAAGCAATAGATACAAGCTTGACAGTAAAAATGTCTGTCATCTTTAAGCTTCGTGTTTCAGAGATGCAGCTTACATGTACATGTAGATTCTGGGTCAGTGGAACTTCAAAGATACCATCATAAGATTATCCATTGCTTGTCTTGCTACTTGGATTGTCTTTGAGGCTTTGACTAGTATGCTTTAAAAGATTAACAAGCAATTTGTCAATCAATTCGATCTTGCAACAGTGTTCACTTTCGTAAGTTTCTTGTAACAGTGTCAGACTTACATGCAGAGGAAAACTTCTTCCAAAATACAGGGTCTCAGCCGCAGTTTGGAAATACATGTACATGTACTTTAGGTTTGAGCCAAACCCTGAAAAGCCAACCAAAGCTTTAGACAAGGATAACATCACATGGGTTTTGTGCAACAGGAAACTAGCTTACAGGTTGGGGACATCTGCAGTGCACAAACACCTCAAATGAGTTTGTGAAACGGTCATCTAAGGGCAAGTACTGTACATGGTAACGGAGCAGCAGAAACCAGGAAGCGTTGAATTTGCCATCTCACAATCTTATCCAAATGTTGACATGAGATGGGGCTCAACCCATGACATGCTGAAGCAGATTTTGGACAACAACAGCCCATCTGCAACCTGCTGGTCACCACGAAAAAGAAAGAACTGCACCTATCAGACCGCGAAGTTGCCATAGTCGAATCACTAGTGAAAACTCTTGAACCAACGAAATGGGTCACAGAATCGCTCCCTGATGAGACCTACATGTACATCACGGTGTTGGGTATCTTTCCTTCTATTCAATATACATGTACATGTATCGAACGGCTGCTGGAAGACAAAGAGGACGACGAGATTTGACAGGTCAAGGCAGCTACTATGCCAGCAACAACACCTTCCATTTTCTGTTGATTGCCTGTTTTTTGGATGAACGGCATAAGGTGATGAGCTGATCACAGAAGAACGAGGAGAACACAACCTTTTAGCTGATCGTGCCAAGAGCATTGATGAAGGTGCTGATGAGAGAATCGACACTTCAACAATACAATAAGAAATCCAGGAGCGTGGCCGCATTAGTCATGTTAGTTCACAATGCTTTGGGAGAAGAGGATTAGGATGGTGCTCCAGCCAGTAGGTCACCAGAAAGATCACATGTACACAAACAATAGAAAATTGTTACCTGATGACGACCTACTTGAGTGGTGCAGATTTAATGGCCACTGATACCCAATGCTTACTCATTTGGTTAGATTTTACCTGTGCATCCCAGTAACGAGAGTGCCATCGGAACGACTGTTTAGTACAGCTGGTAATATTGTCACCACAAAACGATCACAATTGAAGCCCCAGAACGTTGCCCATGTTCCTACATGACAATGTGCCTTAAGACAATGATTCAGTCAACTGTAATATTTCCAATATGTATGCTGCATTGTAGAAAGTAATGAGTTTACAATTTTTTTTTTAATGTTTGAGGCCGTGAGATTTGTTTCTTGTATTACTAGCATTTCAATGGGAGAAATAAATACCACATTTTCAACTTTGACGAGAATGCACTGGAGGACAAATGGAGAAAAAATTTCTTTTGTGAAAATTTTGTTGTACATGTACATTGTTAAGAATCAGCGAGTTTGTTAGGTTAGTTAAAAAATCTATTTGTTAACTTCATATGTCACTATTTCCCTTCCTAAATTTGACATTTTATGACATGCTATAGTTTTCCAATGGCCAGTAAGTGAGTGTAGTTTCAAATTGCTTTTCTCCTTGTATGGAAATCTTCCCTTTCTTACTTTTTCTATTCACGTGTTCCCAGATTTTTGTCTCATTATCTGTAGCTGTGTAGCCTTGTCAATAATGTACACAGTGCAGTGCATATGGCAGTAACTTTGCAGAGATTACATTATTTTTTTATATGGATTGTTGTTTAGTGTCTTTCTAACAACAATATTGGAATTCATGTGTGAAATACTACTTGCATTGTACTAATAATAACACTTGTACAGATTTACCATGCTAAACACTGCTCAGCTGCATTGCTAGTTTTGCCAGTTGTCAATACTGTACCTGTAACATCCAGTCTGAATAAATTTAGTTGTGTTGTCTAATTGAGTTTGATTAGGATACGTATTATGATCCATTCTGCAGTGTTGCTTCAGTCCAGTGAGTCCATTTATTCTTAGGTATTCCTAGACTTTCTCTTGATCATTTCATCAGTATAGCCTTTGAATTTCAGTGTAATATTTTGTTTTTTTTGGTACTGCTGGAGTGTCTTTTTGAAGTTTTGTCTTTGATGAAAAAGAACCCACATGTAAGTCATTGATTGTTACACAATTGATTGTGTGCACAACCTGAGATCCCATGCACCATGTAACACATGTGGTGTCACTGAAATGGATTGGTGACTTGTCATATGGCAGAGGGACAGTTGTACCGGAAATGCCGAAAGGACCTTTTGAGCAAGCTGTTCCAGCAAGGGTCCCGGTTCTCAACTACATGTTGTCAACTTCTCACTTGATAGGCGATAACGCAGAGCCAGTTCCATGCATGGACCTGGGCAATGGTATTGCTTACAAGATAGCAGACTTACAGTCGTTTTATACATGGTCCATGGCCATTTACGATATGTTGGCACATGTTCATGCCTTGTACGCATGCCAGCTGTCAACCTCGTACAGTACTCTGCATAGTGCTCTTCAAAGTGACCCTTGGCTTCAGAGAACGCTTCCAGTACCTGACGGTGATAGACCCATTCACCATCTTCTCACTCATCTTCTGTACTGTAGCAGCATATGTCGGCCATTGATCAAGTGAGTTTGTTGGTTTCCTTCTCTGTCCTCAGAAGGTACATGTACATTTAAGTGAGAGCCGCAGAAAATCCAGCTTATCACCCTGCATAGACTTGGAGAAGAAGGCACAGGGTAACAGGAGGTCAGCAATTACTGCCCATCCAAGAAGATACTTATTTATATACATGTACCCTTTAAATTTTGCTTGATCTACTGGTTTTATGCTGGTATCTTCGGCAAGGCTTCCAAGATGAGCTGTGTACATGTAAGCACCACATTTGCAGAGAACACATTTCTTGGCACTTTGCTTGTGACTTACCCATCAAGTTCCACAAGCTCTTACACTGTGAATTTCCGCTCGGTTAAAATGCAGTTTTTGGTTTAAAAACTAGTGTTTTATTCAACAATTCAATGCTTTATTTGTCAAAGATTAGTTAATTTATCGTGTAAACTGACAGTTTGGAAATACCTCAACATG